ATCTACATTCATGATAAAGCTTACACCTTTCCAAGAATGTGTTTTAAGCTGATGCTTTCTTGTATCAACATCAACAACTGATGCATAAACTCCTTTAACTCCAGCTCCACTATCAATCGCTTCTTTCATCTGCATAGCTGTAGTGATGTTATGGCCTTCTGCAGAGAAAATTCTCATTTTTTGTCTCATATGGGCAATTTTAGGATCACAGTAGCTTTTGCCACTCTGGGCCTCACTATAATCATAACTTTTGATTTGTATCCCTAAAAAAATAAATAATGCTTTTGTTTTGTTTTTTTTATTTATAAAGATACAACCTACAAACATTGATGAGAGTAAACATATATATTGAAATAATTCTTATATGATTATCATATTAAGGAATAAGATAATATGATTGGTCGAGAGGGCTTTTGGTAGTGTCTTTTGACCTTATTTCTTTTTTTTTTAGATAGATGACCCTGACAACTTACTTTTTGTAACGAGTGTGAACAAGATCTTGGCGATACTAACACAAACTGGCCTGAAGTTCCAATATTTATTTTTTCCTCGCATTCATCTTTAAATGTTAGTGAATTGGTCCAGCAAATACACCAATTTTTAAATTCCTTTAAAAGGGTATATTATCCTACAGTACATTTCACTTGTTCCTTAATTTATCTTTATGTTGGAGATGGATTAAAATTTACAAATGTGGAGCAGGATATACATGTATAAAATTTAGAATAAATGGAGAATATGTCAAAGAGACAACAACCCGACCATAGAGCAGACAACAGCTGAAGGCCACCAATAGGTCTTCAATGCAGCGAGAAACTCCCGCACCCGGAGGCGTCCTTCAGCTGGCCCCTAAACAAATTATATAAACTAGTTCAGTGATAATGGACGTCATACTAAACTCCAAATTACACACAGGAAACTAAAATTAAAAATGATACAAGACTAACAAAGGCCAGAGGCTCCTGACATTAGACAGGCGCAAAAATGCGGCGGGTTAAACATGTGTTTTGAGATCTCAACCCTCCCCCTTTACCTCTAGCCAATGTAGAAAAAACAAACGCACAACAGTACGCAAAGTAAAACTCAGTATAAGAGAAGTCCGAGTCCGATGTCAGAATAGGAAACAAAAGAAAATGAACAAAATGACAATAATACATAAATAACAACAGACTACTAGCAGTTACTGACATTATGACAAGATTATGTCTTCATCATATGAATATCGGGCACAATCCCTCCTGTTAGGGGTTTAGTATTATACCGTCATAAAATATATGAGAAGAACATAACCCGTGTCATGCCAACAACTGGTTTTAGAATAAATGTGTTTAATTCCGATGCAAAGACCCTATAAGTGAATCAATATTAAAGCCAAAATATGCAATCTTTAATGACCTGACAACAGTATCATAACCATATCCCTTCTTAATAAGTCTGTTTAAAGGTTTTGTTAGCTTTTGAGGTGAATAATGACATTTTTGTGCTTTGTAAAGAATAGTACCTTGAGATATTTGTAATAATTTTTCCCAGAAATTGCTCATTCTTGAATAAGCATTTGACAATGTTTGATACAAGTTTTATAAAAACCTAGCAATTATGGTATATGTGGGAGCCCTTACAAAGGAATTTATGTCATTAACATTTCCAAGGAACATAACTCACTGTTATTTCTATGCCCTCCCTCTCCTATTATGTTGGGCATGGTACCAAAACAAAATCCTAAAAAACTCCATATTTGTATTTCAGTGAAAGTGATATAATATTACCTGTTCATTCTGACAAACTTGGTATTGCTAGCCACAGCTGACCACAATGGTAACAACCAGCGTTGTTAGATCTAAGGTATGCCTCTGTGATTTGTGGTAACGGTTTCTTAATAGAAGATAGTGTGTGCTCCAACAGGGATAAAACACCGAAGAAGTTCTGCTTCACATGGTCCATTATATAAGTAAAGGTCTTGTGCTAAAATAAAAATCAGTTCTTATTGTATACCGTCAAAGTATGGATGGTGTTTAATATGACTTTCTACAAATAAATAAAACTAAAACACACTTGCGAAATAGCTGTAATTTAGACCGTGGTTTAAAGTATGTAAAACTTCTGTAGGCTGACATTACAATTTTTTTCTTTCATCCTCCTTTTTCCAAAATCCGTAATTTTTTGTTTTCTATTATTCAATTCTTCTGTTACTATGAACATACATATACTATAAATAAAGTGTATTTCCTATTTACTATCATTTCAAAGTTTACTTTCCACTGTGTCACCAACAGTAAATAGCAAATACACTCTATTTATAGAATATGTAACGCAAAAATAATTGTCCTGTTCCCAAGTATCTATCAAAACTATTTGTTGTTTTCACAGTCCTAAATATAACGGAAGTCTTGTCTATGACTTAAAAATCTTTCCAATGACGGAAACAATATCTGGACGCCTTATTTCCATTTTTCTCTCAAAATAACCGAAACTGAATAATCATAAAAGAGAATGACAAATGCGACTGTGCATGGTACCGTTAGGACACAGATGGTTGATAATTAATTTATTGTGGAAAAAAGAGAAGCAACACGCAAAATAAGGTCTTCTCATTTAATATAAATAAAATTGAGAATGGAAATGGGGAATGGATTTATTTATCTATTGGTCACCAATGCCAATGTTTTAGGAATCCAGAGTACTCAAGGGAAATTGCAGACCTAACCATGCTTGATAACGAAGTAACTGACAAACTTATTGAATTTTCAAATATCATTCTTATCAAGTTTGGTTCAGATTGGTGAAAGCAGACATGTGTACTTAAAAAAATTTCCCATAGGGTTTGTTGGTTCCCTAACTATGTTCCATGCAGCCATCATGTTACTGTCCAATCATTTTGGAAAAAAATGTTTGTTTAGGTGTAATACCACCAAATCATAGTACGTCACATCCGGTTGCATACGAAAATAGGTCGGAAAAAATATTCACTTGAATTTGACAGTTGTAGGTAATTGATCTTACATTTCATTGCAGTAAAACATTTCTGGGTCTTAAACATATATCTTGGGTATTTCAAATCACCATTATTTTTTTATTTGGGGTTTCTATAGAACATTTTGGAAACTTGAGGTTACATGGTTACTAAAGCTAGTACACAGGTTTAAAAAGGGGGAAAATTTGATTGGTTAACTTCCAGTGATGGTTATTTTCTTATATGCAATGAAATGTTATGTGAAATTTTTTCTATAGTACTGGACATGATAAAACTTTATTCATGCCAAGTATTTCTTTATTTGAAACAAAGATAAATTCTGCACAATTTTTTGAAAAGTGCAAATTTAACAAAGACTAATAGGGAAAATCAATGGTGGTATTACACCTTTAAGGAATAGTGGTGGCCAAGCTTGGTGAATTATTTCCATGAAATTCAGTAACAATTGTTTTTTTTTAAAGATTTTTAATTTTTTTGCATTACTTGTAGTTTTTCCTCATCAATGGGCCACTTTTAGCTGTTTGGTCATTAATAATTTTTGTTATGTAATATTTTTGTTTACAGAGTTTTTCAAGATTTTTGTTGCATATATATATTTTAAATTTTCAGTAATAATGGCTGCCATGTTTGATGACATTTAGGTTCATTATAATGGTAAATAGGATTATCATTTAAATAATATTACTCTTACCTTTAAACTGTTGTCTTCATCTTTAAAAATGGCAACACACACATGCCAGTGCATCCCTTTTTGACCAAAGAAATCTTTCATTCTTTCCCTAAACATCTGTGGAAGGTATTTCACTGCCCAATCTATGATAATAATTTCTTCATTGCCTTGTATGCTGTTCAGAAGATCAAACCTGACATCATCTTGGTTGATTGTTCTCAAGATGTGAGATCTCCAGTCCTCAATCTGCCTTGTTGATATTTCCAGGTCTTGGAGGAAAGCTTCTTGATCCTCTGGACAGCTGGATAAAATGGCCAACCGAACTTCTTCAACAATATCTCCAAGCAGCAGACATCTGTCGCATGCCTTTTGATGCATGTTCACATCCAACACTAAGGGCACCAACTTTTGGATCACTTAATGAATACTGCAGGCAATGGAAGGCACATTCATCTTCTCTTTTTATATGCAGTTTGTAATCTGTTTTTAAGTACAGTCTACTATTTAAAAGTTTGCTCTTAAATGTACTCTTCCAGTCCTCTGTTTTGTTCAGCTTGGAAATTAGGGACAAAATGTTGTCAAATGCTGTGGTGCCATCTACAGCAATGTTGTCTAAACCTTTAAGGCACTTCCTTTTGGATGCTTCACATGCATTCAAAACTTGATACAGTGTTGAGTCACTTAGAGGATTGAAATCATTGTCGGCACAGTAGAGTTTATACAGTTTAATCAAGTTTGAATTGATGACTGTTCTAACAACATCTGGGATAACAAGAATATCTCCCGAGTCTAATTTTAGGTCATGGGTAGTGTAAGATGATATTTGTTTGAAAGATGGGTCACTGAAGAATTCTACAGCATGCTGTAATATGACATAGTTTATTCTCTTTCTATGTTGTTGTGTCTTTGAAGATTGTATACATGAGCCAGGACCATTAACAAATGCATGTTTTCTGGCTTTATCTATTTGATATTTTGTGATCTCAGGAATCCATGTCAACAAATCAGTCTTTGAAAACTGGTTCACAACAAGAGACAAAAGTTGACACTTTACATCTGCATCCTTTATACTTTTACACATCTGGAAAACAACATAAAGAAGGTCATCATCACCTTTCGTTACTGGAACCTGATCAGAAATTCTCCTTAGTTTAGTTCCTTGTTTAGGTGCAATAGCATTATATAGAGCTTCAGATGTTTCCTCAGCCTTTCTTTTGTAGTATCGGATGGTTCGGTTTTTTGCTTCATCTATTTTTGTGTTCAGCTTTGATCTAAGTGGACTGATACAACCATGACCTAGAACATAAATAGCCTTGTTGATATCAGCAATTTGGATTTCTTTAAGAGGCAATACTTCGTCCCCTTGGCTCCAACTTGAATCTTGACTGCTGCACACTGTACTAACTTGCCCCTCGCTGTCTTGTGAATATGTGTATAAATTCTATAAATAGAAAATCATGCAGGTAACAATTGTCATTCAAAAAGAACTAAACAATATCATATGTAAGGATGTTCAACAATTTCTTAATATACATGGTTAGAATTCAGCATATCAAATAAAAGACTAACATTAATTATATTTTTGATGTCAGAAATCAAACAAAGTTTATCTTTTAATAAAAGAAAAGTGTAATTTTGGACCCTTTTGACCTGTTGACTAATTTGACAACAGGGCCCAAAATCCAAACACAGTTAGATTCAGCATATCAAAGAACCACAATAATTAAATTTTTGTTGAAATCAAACAAAGTTTTATTTTGGACCCCGATTTGGACCAACTTGAAAACTGGGCCCATAATCAAAAATTTAAATACATGTTTAGATTCAGCAAATCAAAGAACCCAAAGAATTAAATTTTTGTTAAAATCAAACTAAGTTTAATTTTGTACCCTTTGGATCTTAATGAAGACCAATTTGAAAACGGGACCAAAAATTAAAAATCTATATACACGAATAGATTCGTCATAGCAAAGAACCCCAATAATTCAATTTTTGTTGATATCACACAAAGTTTAATTTTGGACCCAAATTTGGACCAACTTGAAAACTGGGCCCATAATCAAAAATCTAAATACATGTATAGATTCAGCATATCAAAGAACCCCAAGAAATCAAGAATATTTTTTGTTAAAATCAAACTAAGTTTAATTTTGGACCCTTCGGACCTTAATGTATCCCAGTTTGAAAACAGGACAATATATCAAACATCTAAATACACGGATAGATTCGTATATCAAAGAACGCTAATAATTCAATTTTTAATGAAATCAAACAAAGTTTAGTTTTGGACCCTTTGGATCTCAATGTGGACCACTTTAAAAACAGGGCCCAAAATCCAAAAACGTTATACACGGTTACATTCAGCATATTAAAGAACCCCACAAATTCAAGAATAAAACCCTATTGAAATTGGTCAAGAAATAAACAATTTATACAAATATTGTTTTTGGCCCCTAATTCCTAAACAGAAAAGGCCATAACCACCAAAATCGATCCCAACCTTCCTTTTTTGGTATGGAACCTTATGGTACAAATTCAGAAACATCCATACATTTACACACAAGTTATTGTCTGGAAACTAGGATAAACTGCTTCGCTGAGCGCAGCTGGATACGCCCGCAGAGGTCCAACCCTGAACAGTTGGGGCAAAAATGGACACAATATTCAAGCTTGATACAGGTCTGAATTTGGATTGTAATAAGATATTTGACATATTATAGGTTTCTGAATAAATGTAGTCGAAGAACTTGAAATTGGTTATATGAATTGAATTGATATTTAATTAAAGATTTCTTGCTGTTGTGCAAAACACTGTGCTGTTGCGCAATGCTAAGTAAATCTGTTGTCAAGACTATAAACAAATAAAATCTTATAACTCGGAAACCTAAATTCAAAAATTTATAAATATAAAAAGGGAGCTTACAAAAATAGATATAAACAATTTACCAAAGTTTCATAACATTTGAGTTATTGTCCGAAAACTGGAAAATCCCTATTTTTGTAATGAATAAAACCCCATAAATCGGAAACGTATAGTCTAAAATTTATAAAAATCAAAAGGGAGTTCATGTCGATAGAAATGAACAATTCGTCAAAGTTTCTTGCAAATTGGTGAAATTGTTTTTGAGTTATTGTCAGAAAACTGGAAAATCCCCCCCCCTATTTTAATGAATAAAACTAGGGATGTCAACTCGATAAAGATTTACTAATCGAGTACTCGTTGGATTTACCGAGTGATACTCAAGTACTCGCTCGGAAAAACATCTACAAAATGGAAACACAAAATCATACCTATTTTATGTATTGTTTGTCGTTTTCTTAACGTAAAACCCTCAACAATATTACCTAGGACTAGATAATTGTTCCAGGAATTTTATACCATAATTAATAGCTCATTTACTACTTGTACCAATTAAGTAAATTGGCAATAATCTAATCAATTAATTAATCATGTTAAAACACATCTTTAGAAAAATGATTACTCAAACAACAGTATTTGGGAATCGTAAAAAAACACATTAATGGTCAGCAAAGGGGTAATGATTAGAACTTATTGATGCCTTTAATCATTTTCTGAGGGTCAACACAGGGTGCAACGAATTTGTTCTTATTTAGAAATATTATCTTGTCAGCTTTTTCTGCGACGAGGTTATTTCTCAACTTTGTTACGTATTTAACATTCCTGCTGATGAAAATATTTGCTCTGACGGTACAGAGGTGGGGGAGGGGGAATGACTATAAGATTAGCTAAAAGTGTAAGCATTGGAAAGGTGCTCTTGTTCATAGCCTACCTCTGTTCGGAGGAATTTAAAATGACAATTAAACGCACACATTCGAGACATATTTTAATATTGATTAATATTTTATTTCCTAGGAGGCGCTCTCAATAAAAATATTTTTGTTTAAGCTTAAGAAAGCAACAACATTCTAACAGGAAACTGATTAGTCGAGTATCGTTTTGGTATTCGATACTCGGTACTAACTAGCGATACTCGAGTACTCGAGTACTCGTTGACATCCCTATATAAAACCCCAAAACTCGGAAACGGTAAATCAGAAATTTATAAAAAAACAAAAGGGAGCTCACGTCAATAGATATAAAACATTCACAAAAGTTTCATGCAAATTGGTGAAATTGTTTTTGGGTTATTGTCCCAAAACTGGAAAATCCCCCCTTTTTTAATGAATAAAACCCCAAAACTCTGAAACGTAAATCCCAAATTTATAAAAAACGAAAGGGAGCTCACGTCAATAGATATAAACACTTCACCAAAGTTTCATGCATATTGGTTAAAGCGTTTTTGAATTAAAGTCCGACATGTTGACGACGGACGGACGGACAGACGGACAACAGCAAACCATAATATGTCCCATAAACGGGCGTATAAAAATACTTATTTGGACCCCTTTTTAGGCCCTAAATTCCTAAACAGTTGGGAACATAACCCCCGAAATCATTCCCAACCTTCCTTTTGTGGTTAATTTCATAGAGATCCATTCACTTAAACTAAAGTTATTGTCCGGAAACTAGGTGTCTTCTGACATTGCAGATGGCAAAGTGATACCAATATACGACTCCAAAATTTTTTGGCAGTGTATAAAAATATAAATATGAGGTAAGAATAATAGGCATATCAAAGAACCCCAATAATTGATTTTTTATGAAATCAAACAAAGTTTTATTTAGACCCTTGAGGGCCTTAATGTGGACCAATTTAGAAACAGGGCCCATACTTAAGATTCTGAATATACAGTTACATTTGGCTTATCAAAGAATCCCAAGAATTCAATTTTTGATAAAAACCCCAAAGAAGAATAAAGTTTTGATTTAAACCCAATTAAATTGATCTATAAATAAGCAATTCATATATAGAAGTATTAGAAAAGTATTGACTTGATGTTGGTCCCTTTTTCCGAAAAAGTTAGGGCCATTACCCCCAAAATCAATCCCAACATTCTTTTTTTTTCAGGAGACAGCATGCTGAAATCTTCCTTTTTCAACTTCATTGAAGTGAAACAGAAACTTTAAAATACAAACAGGACACAGATGAAGTGACTCTCATTATATTACATTTGTACTTTTTTATACAATGTTGTAAGATGTTTGTCAAAGCTTATGCTGCATGTACATGTATTTATTATAGTATTGTGATAACCATAGTTTTGCAATAAAAGTTGTGTTTGGTGCTGCCTTACATGACAGGTACCATACATGGATCAAGTAATGCTGACTAGTCAGGAGCATCTGGTCTTACTTTTTGTTTTATATGAGAGGTCATATTGTTCATGTTGTTATAGAGCTTTTAATGCCCACGCCGTAGCTGTGTGGCAATAAGTTTTACCCTTGTCCGTCTGTACGTACGCACGTACGTACGTCCCAAAATTGGTTTCCGTTCTCTTACTTAAGTTTGCCTCAACCAAATGTTATGAAACTTATAAATACACAATGCTAATTACCACAAAACACAGATCAAGTCTGAATTTTGTTGGCGTCACTTAAACCGTTCTAGAGTTATACCCCTTAAAAATGGAAAAATTGCAAAATTTTTAGTTTCCGTTCTCTAACTTAAGTTTGCCTCAACCAAATGTTATGAAACTTATATACAATACTTATTACCACAAAACACAGATCAAGTTTGAATTTTGGTGGCGTCACTTAAACTGTTCTAGAGTTATGCCCCTTTATAAATGGAAACATTGCAAAAATTTTATTTTCTTCTAAATATCAAGTAATTTTTAAAATTGGAGTTATCTTCCTTTGTCCATGATTATAGTTGAATCAACTACAATCAATGCTTTATACAATGCAATGTTTAATTTTGACTTCCACGGATAAAACACAGATCAAGTTGAATTTGGGTAGTGTCACTTTAACCATTATTAAGTTATGCCCCCTTATAAATCAAAAGATTGCAAAATTTTTAGTTTCCATTCTATAACTTAAGTTTGCCCCAACCAAACATTATGAAACCTATACACAATATTCATTACCACAAAACTAAGATCAAGTACAAATTTTTGGTTTCCGTTTTCCAACTTTAGTTTGCCTCAACCAAATATTTTGAAACTTATACACAATGCTTATTACTACATAATACAGATTAAGTACGAAATTCGGTGGCGACACTTTTACCATTCTTGAGTTATGTCCCTTTATAAACATAAAAATTGCTGAATTTTTCATTTCCGTTCTCTAACTTTAGTTTGTCTCAACCAAATGTTATAAAACTTATACACAACCGTTCTAGAGTTATGCGTGTTTACAAATAGAAAAATTGCTGAATTTTTAGTTTCTGTTCTCTACTTAAGTTAGCCTCAACCAAATGTTATGAGACTTCCACACAATGCTTATTACCACAAAATTCAGATCAAGTTCAAATTTGGGTAGCGTCTTTTTTACCGTTCTTCAGTTATGTCCCTTTATAACTATATGATATTCAAGCGGGGGCATCATCTATGTCCACATGTGGACACTATCCACATTTATTTTTTTAAATAATTGAAATAGTATTTTTTTATCTTGTGTTCAACTGTTGAATGCTGCTTCTCATGTGGGTTCTTTCTGTTTGTCTTGGACCAAATAACACATCGTTTGTAAGAGAGAAGATATTTTTTTTTAAATTTAAGCGAGAATTATTTCAAGATATACAGATAAATAAGCGCATTCATTTTCTAATGTTATATGCCTGATAATATTAATTTCTATGAATATGAAGTTATCTGGATGGATACAATTCTTCTGCAAGAAGTTTTCAACCTTTTTTATTTGGTTATATTGTTCTTAAATGTGTTATGATTACAGTGACTGACTTACCTTATCAAAGGTAGATGAATTTGTTTTTCTCGTGCGAAGTGTATAGTTACAATGCTCATCTTCATCATCTGTTGTAGCCACTAATTTTGACTACAATATAAGCAAGTTTGTTGACTTAAACTTGACTTTTGTAACAACAATATATTTCTCTTGTACAAATCTACTCCTACATGTCCTAAAAAACAAGAGTGCAACTACTAAAATTTCTCACCTGTTTCATTCCTTACATAAACTAAAACGAAATGCTCCGCTGGGCGCAGCTTGATACGACCGCAGAGGTCGATCCCTGAACAGTTGGGGCATGTATGGACACAACATTCAAGCTTGATACAGCACTGAATTTGGATTTTGATTAAATATTTGACACAGCATAGGTTTCTGACACCGAATGAATGTTGTCTAAGAACTGAAACATTTTTAATTTACCTATTTAAATCATATCATTATTATTTTGCTTTTATTTATAAATCAGAAATAACCAATTTAAAATGAAAAATTTTATAGAAAAAAAAGGAAAAAAATATCCCCCCTCAATTTTTCTGAGCCCCCTTATGATTCATCCCCCCAAAACTCAATCCCAACCTTCCCTTTGGGGTATGGTACCTTGCAGTACAATTTCAGAGAGATCCGTACACTTAAACACAAGTTATTGTTTGGAAACTAGAAAAATGCTTGTTTTTTGGCCCCTTTTTGGCCCCAAATTCCAAAACGTTTCGGGCAATTACCCCCAAACTCAATTCCAGTTTTTCCTTTGTGATATGGAACCTTGTAGTACAATTGCAAAAAGATCCATACACTTACACACAAGTAATTTTCATAAAACTAGAAAAATGCTTGTTTGTTGCCCCTTTTTTTTTCCCTTATTCCTAAAATGTGGAGGTATGGTACCTTGCAGTACAATTTCAGAGAGATCCGTACACTTGAACACAATTTATTGTCTGGAAACTAGAAAAATGTTTGTTTTTTGGCCCCTTTTTGGCCCCAAATTCCAAAACGTTTTGGGCAATTTCCCCCAATATCAATCCCAGTATTCCCTTTGTGATATGGAACCTTGTGGTACAATGTCAGCGAGATCCATACACTAACACACAAGTTATGTCTGGAAGTTATACAAATGCTTATTCTTGGCCCCTCATTCCTTAACTGTTGGTACCATAACCCCCAAAATCAATCCCAACCTTCCTTTTGTGGTATTGAACCTTATGGTAAAATTTCATAGAGATCCATTTACTTAAACTCAAGTTAGAGTGCGAAAACCAATGTGTCTTTGGTCGACGACGACGCGAACGTCATTCAAATATACGACCGGAAAATTTTTTTGCGGTCGTATAAAAACTAAACTTAACATTGGAAAACGAACAAAAAAATGAGGTCACAATCATATAGACTGATAAGCACACTGAAGGAATAACAGTACTGTAGTTGAAGAGTTGCCACCGTCAATTGTCGATTTGACTGTCACAAATGCAGTTTTACTGGCGATGCTTAATACATGTCTGAATTTGGATTGTAATTAAATATTTTACAATAATAGGTTTCTGACACAGAATAACTTTAATCAAAGAACTTAGAATTGGTTATATGATTTGAATTTATATTTATATATTCAATATTTTGTTTTTGTGCAATACACTATGCTGTTGCGAATTTAACCCACTCCCCCTTTTTTTGCTTTTAAGCAATACACTATGCTGTTGCGTATTGACCCCCCTCCTCTCCAAAAAAAGAAATTTGTTACCCCCTCCCCCTCACCCTTTATTTTGCCAACAAGAAAAAAATATTGGAAGAAATTTTATTTGTTAATTTCTGAAATCTGAATTGAGAAAAAAAATTTCCCCCTCTTCCAAAAAAAAAATCTTTCCCTCATGATATGTTTGTTTTCAATTTATGAGTTTGAATATTCCTTTTGTATATATTTTTTACCAACCTTTTATAACTTCATACACATGTAACATCATTTGGCTCTTCTTTAATTGTAGAAATTATCTACCCTGTTTCCCCTCACCCACCTGCCTACTACTTCACCATACTGAACAATATTCATGATATATGTATGTGTGCCACACTAAACTATACTTACAAATTTATTAACATTAGGTTTGTCTTCATTTGGATCATCAATCTCTATATCCATGCCATTGCCATTGATATCCTACATAAAAAATACAATGCTTATCATTGATTATATTTAATTTTTGATTGATACAATTTACAAATTACAGTGAAGACAATAAATCATATGAAAAAAAGCAATCAATTCTTACTAACATTTAATATTATGGCAAATTATATTTTACTGCAAATTTCAAGGTGCAGATGTTGGTATTCTATCATGTCTATTGTATACTATGTCATAAACAATATGCCGGCATACATCTGCGTCTTTATATTGTATTTCATATACATACATGTACATACAAAAACTAATGAAATATGGTATACGGGTACATGTAATTGTTAATGAGACAAATATCAAACAAATTTTAAATGAATTAGATAGAAACCACTACAGGCAACTGTACGGCCTTCAACCAACCCCATATCATATAGTCTGTTATGAAAGGCCCTGACATAAAAATTATGAAACTATTTAATTGAGAAGACTAACTGCCTAGTCTATCATGTTTGTATATAGGTAGCAAAAATAAAATGACAGACCTGAAGCTACTTAATTTTCTGATTGAGAGTTTTTGTCATTATAAACATCTTTTTTTTTTATTCTCCCTCACATGGTTCAATAAATCCCAACCTTCCTTTTGTGGTATTGGACCTTCTTAAAAAATTTCATAGAGATCCATTCACTTAAACTAAAGTTTTTGTCCGGAAACCAATATGTCTTCGGACGACGACGACATCATACCATTATACGATCCCAAAACATTTTTTGCGGTCGTATAAAGATAAATGATAAATTCAATGCAATTTTAATGGTGGTTCCGTTAGCAATTTATTTACATAGACCAGAATTATCATCCACCTCACATGAAGTGTAGAAAAAGAATCATAACCCTCGGGTAGTAGAGATACCGTATAAGAAAACCCAAACCGTTTGCAGTTATACCTACATTTTGTTTTATATTGGTATATGTAATAAAACTATGTTACCTTTTTTTCTGTACATGATGTATATGCTTTCAAGTATTCTCCATTACATTATCTGCATATTCCTTGAAAGAAAAAGAAAAAAGAATGCATAAAATTCATATAAAGAATATATATATATATATATGTCTATGTCATAATGGATTATATATTCAGCTTAAATATGGGGACAAAATCAATTTTGATAGGAAGCATTTAAGTTGGGGGAGAGGGGTTCCATTATGTAGCTTATAATAATAAATACTTTATTTAAAAAATCATGTATTGTCTAAGACAAATTAAATTATTTTATTAGTATAAAATCCCAAAACCAAGACATTTGCAAGAGAAGCATAAACAATATTTACAAACATATAAAACTTAAATTTAAGAAACATTCATATTATATAAGTATATATTTAGATGTATTTTGGATATTTAGAGGAGGTGATACATTCTGAACTTTTGAAAATTTGAAAGTAAATGATAAACTTCATCATGTTTATGCATAAACTTTTAAAAGTATCAATCAAAAGTGAAAACATTAACTTGCTATGTCCCCCTTTCAAAATACTTGATCATCACCTATAAAAAAAACTGTGGTTATATAATGTAAAACTTATTTTTTGGGGGTTCAGTTTGTGGTGGAAAAAGGGGGGAGGGTATCTGTATCTGTATTGGTATGTGTAGAATCCTGTTATGGGCTTATGGCTTTTATACACAGTGGAGAAGAGCCCCATTGTTATGGGTGTTCTTGTAGGGCGGTCTTAAATGACTCTACAGAGCCTGCATGCACAACTTTATCATATATCAACTTGACATGGCAGATTTCAAAAATAAAGTTCATGTAGGGCATATGTTAATACAAACAAAAAAGAGAATGTTAAGGTACATGTAGGGGTAATTTGTCAATACAAAAATGTGCACTTTGTTTTAAAATACACATATATGTATATTATCAGTTACTTAGGGAGAAATGTCCTTGAAAATGTCAACATACTGAACCTGTTTAAAGATTTCAATCGTTTGTTACCAAACAAACTCAATGCATCAGTTATAAACAAACATGTAGTCTGTTGTTATTTATGTATTATTGTCATTTTGTTTATTTTCTTTGGTTACATCTTCTGACATCAGACTCGGACTTCTCTTGAACTGAATTTTAATGTGCGTATTGTTATGCGTTTACTTTTCTACATTGGCTAGAGGTATAGGGGGAGGGTTGAGATCTCATAAACATGTTTAACCCCGCCGCATTTTTGCGCTTGTCCCAAGTCAGGAGCCTCTAGCCTTTGTTAGTCTTGTATTATTTTTAATTTTAGTTTCTTGTGTACAATTTGGAGTTTAGTATGGCGTTCATTATCACTGAACTAGTATATATAATTGTTTAGGGGCCAGCTGAAGGACGCCTCCGGGTGCGGGAATTTCTCGCTGCATTGAAGACCTGTTGGTGACCTTATGCTGTTGTCTGTTCTATGGTCGGGTTGTTGTCTCTTTGACCCATTCCCCATTTCCATTCTCAATTTTATGTATATATTTGACAATATAATTAATGAATTGGAATACAAACAAAATAAAGTACATTGTACTTACCAGAGCCAATGGGCACAAATACACAAAAGTCGGCTAACATTTGACTGCTCATGGCCGTTGTAAAGCTCCGATAAGGCTTGGCCTTTCCCTCATGAATTGGATATCGGCACAAGGCCTTTTGTCTCCAGTTTATTCCAAGGAAATCTCTATGATATGGACAAACACTGAAGTCGCTCTCAACAGTGAACAAACCCACTCTTTTTGAAATAAGTTCCCCCTCGTATGTGACGTCTGCTACTCCTGTTACACCTGCATTCAATCCAACTTTCAACAAATGAGCTTGGATATTCCTCTGGCAGTCCTTCTATCTTGATAAAGTTGTATGTGAAGGGTGCATTGATGATATTCCACACTTTGTTGAGGCAAAAACTCCAATTGAGCAGGAGCCCATGGGGGCTGCCATTGTTGAAATCTATTGCATTGTGGGTAATGGAAGATAACTCTAACCTATATTTTAGCATTGTCTAGTCTTTTTGTAAGGACAATATGTGTACTAATGAGACAAAAACACTCAGAAACAGTTATTGTTTTAATAACATATGACACTTTTTTTTCTTAATTTTTTAAAGATATTAAGGTTTCCCATTTGTTTTCTCAAGTATTTCTTCAATGAAAAATATATATTTCAGTACTTTTGTAGTACATTATTAAAGGCATTATGGCACAATCTGACATGCTAAAATAGACAAATTATAATATATACCACTTTTTTAACTATGTCAGCTGAAAGTAGTTGAGAATAACTGTTTATATACAAATAATGCATCAGATTGACCAAATTCATGTTCCTAAAATTATTTGGTATCTGCCTGATTCTTAGGCGGACTACTACTTAACATGTTGAAATGTGAAGGTAAATTTAAAGACATTCAGGTATTAAAATTTGTTTGCTTATCTAATAATTTTACATTTGAAATTTTAAATATCAATTACATCCTTTTAACATGTTTAAGAGCTAATATTTTTATTTGGCTATATATTCAGGGTTTTTCGTTAAAATTGTCAAATAGTTATTCAAATTGTCAGTTTTATACTACCCATTGTAACAATGCGTCATATCATCATTGATCATAAGAAAATGTCTCGTATTAAACTTTACGAATTATTTTGTGAACATTATGATTACCTCCTGATATGTACAACCAAAATCGTATCTAGTTTCATTACCAAGGGTAAAGTATTTCTGAACAAAACAGATCTGAAAAATGACAAAAATGGTTAGTAAAAACAATCGCAAAATATAAGTTTATTAAAGAAGGGAATCAATCCCACAACTTCCAAATACGTCATTGAAATCAGCTAATGAATTATTTTGTCTTCCAATGTTCCGGCTTAACTTAAATCGGTATTTTAATTTGTAAACTTTTAAAAACTTCGCGGTTATCCTGAGTGACAAAAGGTGATTTCGATTGTTTTGGTCCCTGAATTACAAAAGTACTCCAATTTTTCACGTTTTTCAATTGTTTGCATATTTTATAAAACAGCATTCCTAAGTCATTATCTAGTCACTTGAGTTCAGAAAGGTAACTTGTTTTTTGAAATGAATATATTTAATCTAAATGTCACTCTTTATTTATTTTGTAATAAATAAGATAACATCCAAAACCTTACCTAAAAGACAGATATTATTAAGACAAAGGGGAAAATATCTTTTAGGTAAAACCGTTGCTCATATTTATAATGTTATTACTATATCTGAAGGTGAGGATTTTTAAACAGTGTTTGCAAGTTTGTAATACAGGCTTGAAGTTTGATCCCCCTGGAAATATCTGTGACACAATTAAAATAAATACAAATTGCTATCTAATAGTCTTATCTATAAAGGTCATCTAAATGTTGCTATCTGAAAGAGTCATAATACGCTTTGTATTAGATTGTTGCTTTCAAGTATGTTTTCAGTTTTTAGTTAGTCAAATTTATCAACGATTTTTATGTATGGTTGGAAGACATAGCAAATAAAAAGCATAAAATTCTACTTTTGAACAAACAAACATTTGTAACTCTCCTTCATCTGTTTTGGATGAAGTAAGGATGTTTACTGTTAAATTTTCTAATCTTTATTTATTTGTTTGTAAAATAGTTATAAATGGAATGAAAATGTGAATGTAAGTCAACTTCTGATTTCACCAACAATTTTCCATTAAGTCCTGTTTTCCAAGTGTCGACTTTTGGATAATTTACCGTTCAGGTTGCATGGTTAGTGAAAATGAATACACACTATACTCTTTAGTATAGTGTTGTTGCTCCTGTGGACGAAGATTCAAATAACATTAGATTTGTTTGTAAATCGTATTGCTACAAGTGTCTTGTAAAATAATTAGGAATAAATTAGCACTCAGGAAATCCCACATACAAAAACATCATATGACAAGGATGAGATTTTGGCGAATCATTAGTCCTTCATGGCTTCAATGAACATTGCATTCAACAACAAATCGGAGGACTAACCTTGTATGTATTGGATACCTAAACTTCACAAAATCCGTACAAATAACGGTACATTGCCGGCTGATCTGCATGTTCCACTAAAGAATTGTCCATTAGATTGACTAAAATTCTATCCGCAGGGAGAGATGGTCTTCAGAAATACTGTGAAACTGTTAACTCGCGTAGTGGTATTAACCATATGTGGATTCTTAAAAACTCTGGAGAATTTCTGGATAATTTAAAATCCTGGTCTTTTTCTGAAATTAGTTCTATGAAAACTTTTGATTTTTCAACCTTGTATACCACAATTCCCCATGTGAAATTGAAAAATCGTCTAAAAGAAATAATCGACGTTACTTTTGAACATAAAAATGGTAGCATACGCTATACATTCATTACTTTGGGATACCATAAGGCATATTTTGTTAATAGTGAACAAAAGGGTAAAACATGCTACACAGAGAAACAAGTGATCAGTATGCTGGAGTTTCTTAGTGACAACATATTTGTTGAATTTGGAGGTAGACATTTTCAACAAATTATCGGCATTCCTATGGGAACCAACTGTTCGCCTCTCCTTGCCGACCTCTTCTGATGTCATATGAATCGGAGTTCCTTCAGACACTTGTCAAAAACAAGAAGATCAAAGAAGCCAGGTTATTTACTTTCACTTTCAGATTTATTGATGATGTTATTTCCATTGACAATCCTAACTTTTCTGATTGGGTTCTATAAATATATCCCCCAGAACTAGAAATTAAAGAAACAACAGACACGGCTTCCTCTGCCTCATTTTTAGACTGATACCTCGAATTTGACATACACAGTCATCTCAGTACCAGAATCTATAACAAACGAGACGATTTTTAATTTTGAAATTATCAATTTCCCCCACCTTAGTTGCAATATACCAACATATGGGATATACATTTCCTAACTAATTAGGTATTCAAGAGCTTGCAGCTCCTACTCAGACTTTGTAAAACGTCACCACTGTCTGAGCAGAAAGTTGATGAACCAGGGATATGTCAAAGAACGTCTCGTCCTTTTTCTAAAAAAAATTCATC